ACATATATACATATATACATATATACATATACATATATACATATATACCTATATACATATTTAGATATATACATATATATATATATACATATATACCTATATACATATTTAGATATATATATATATATATTTTTTTTTAAAAAGCATATTTGCAGATGAGTCTCAAGCACAAGTGGCCCTGGCCTAGAAGGCTACAAGAGCCTTGTTATTCTTGTTGGAAAGGTTCCAGATGGCCAGAACAGGCTTGAGAGACTTGCTTTGTATATTCATAGGCTCAGTGACCCGGTTCCGATCTCACTCTGAAGCAGTCCTAGAAGAGACAAGCCTTGACATAAGGTGAAGGTAACAGAACTATATTGTAAAACATGAGGAAATCAATTGTTGTTGGCCTTTTCATTGCAACCGGCCTGGTCAAATCTATGTGGAAGTGAAACATTTTGCTTCAACCAGTCACAGTGTCGTTGTGAGTCCAACAGAAAGGTTTGTTGCCAACACTGAAATCACTTTTTTTTTTTGGTATATATGTTGTTTTTTTTTGTCAATATATTACATGATCTGAAGTAATATATATGTACATACATATATATATATATCTATATATTTGTCGTCCATGCGCAAACCTATTCTATTGGAAATACAGTTTGAGTTTGAGTTGGTTGAAACCACAACCAAAAACCACAACAAACAAAAAAAACAAAAACACCAAAAAAAACAATGTTTTGGGGGACTACCTCGGGACTACTTGGATCTAGCCATGTTCAGACTAGCCTGGAGACATTTTTTTGATGTTTTGATCCTTAGGATTAATCCAGATTAATCCAGCTTAATCCAGCTTAATCCAAACCAAATTTGATTCATTTTGCTTCTAAGGCATCATGTATTTATCACATGTCTCCTTTACAAACCATTACTTGAAAACATGTTTGTATGATAAGCATGCGCATCTTTGGGGATGTGCAATTTTTCGTTTAAGGAATAAAGCCTTTGGGGATGTGCAATTTCGTGAGTGAAATATTTCCTTCCATTCACTGGTGTCCCTTTCCAAATGGAATGCAATTGGGTTCCTTTCAAAGGAGTATCACATTCCCATATTGAAGACATCAACCTAAAGACTTCCATAGATTGTCTTTCTCATTGCAGCGGAGGTTGATTGGAAGCCGCTTGGTATCCTGGACGTGGGAGTCTCTGTTTCTGCTCTTTCCAAGTGTTTCTGCAACTGGCAGACACGAGAACTGTTTCAAGGAAACAAACTGCTCACATTTGATATCCATTGGCATCCATTGACCCAGCTGCTGTGGGAGACGTGCTGAGGAGCTGCTCTCGGAGGGTGGCTTTATCAGCCATTTGCTCTTGTCCGTGTGTGAGGTGCGGTTCTCTTGTTTGCCTCAGAGGCTTTATACGTCAAGAATCTCATGCTGACGAATGTCGGGAATATCCAGATTAATCAGATTGATGCGTGCCCCATGTTTGTTTGTATGTGTGTGTGTGTGAAGCTTGCGGACCAACATAAGGCCAACATACGGTACTCAAATCCTTGAATACCATGACAATCGGACGACTATATGCACACGATTTGGCGTGAAAAGTGTTCCACTGGCACTGCTATTAAGGCATCCTTTTGCATCTTTTCAGTATGCGATGGGTGTGCCGGGTGTGACTGATACCTTGTCCCTTCCATGCAGGCGGTCGATGGCTCTGTGCGGCATCTTGTGTGGATGATTAGTACCGAGGTCAGCCGCCTGCCATTTGTGTTGGCGTCCAGTGGAAGTGCAGTCTTTAAGTAGCCATCCACATGTTGGTCAATAGTATAATTAATAGTATAGGGTGGGTTGAAATCTCTCAACTCAGTGCTCGCTTTACAGCGCAAGGGAGAAGTAGCAGCCCAAATCCTTGCCGCGGATGCCTGCTTCACTACTTCTCGGCTGGTTTGGTTGTCTAGGCCCTGCGAGCTGCAGAACTTGTGAATCAAATGACCAAGCACCTCAGTTCGATCCCACCAGGAGCGAAATATCTTCAAGCGTGACTTGATGTGTCAGGGACGCCGAGGAGACTCGCATTTGCCATGCGCCTCTGCCAACTGGTGGTCGGGGCCAAGTGCTGCAACCGACAACTTCGAGAGCTGCAAATGGCGCTGAAAGATTGCTGCGCTCTTGGAAGCTTTGCCAGAGAGTCAATGCTTGTTTAGATGCGCAGTAATGCGGCCCCTGTTCCACTCAGGATTGGGAATGCTTCTTTTGATCTTGCGTCTTCGGCTTAGGCTTAGACTCTATGGCCCTGTGCACTTCTTTTGTTTTTCAACTGCAGGAGTGCCACATCGCCTAGGCTGCTTTGGGGAAGCAAACTGCATGATGGCCCGCTGTACATTAGCGAGGCACAGCGCATGGCTAGCGAATGGCTAGTGAATGGCTAGTGAATGGCCAGTGGGATTTTTACGCATTTTTTCATTTTTTTTTAACTATATAGTGAGATTTTGAGGTCTCTTTGAGCTCTCTTCGAGGGCTCATGAGGCTCATGATCAGCGTTGAGGCTAAAGGCATTGCACCTTTGACTGCCTTGCCGAGCTCTGGGCCCATGGAGCTCGTTGATTTTCGATGGGTTGCTCAGCTCAACTTTTGAGGCTTTGCAGCAAGATGCAGCAAGTATAAGCAGCTTAGCAGGCCCCTATCAGAAAGAAAACCAACAGGTATTTTACGGTATTTGACATATTTGAAAGTCTTATCAACTTGTCCCCAAGCTTCTCCTACACTCTTCCTGACTCCGCCTCCACCAAAGCCTGTGCTCGATCATAATGGACTCACCGCGAACGCTCCACAATCTTGTCTTTAGGGACTTACTGGGAAAGTCGCGCCAACATGCGTTTAGGTGCTGTGATGCAGTCTTATGAGAGAGAAACTGATGTTTTGGAAGTGGTTATTGCCCCAGATAGCTTTGTCTATACTTGTTTTGTCATCCCTGAGTGACTAATTACTAATTCACGTGACTGTCGAGCAAGTACAGTCAAGTGGTTCAATGTCGCCGTGCCTATTGGGACAGCATTCTAGAAGTGTCGCAGCGATTCATCTATTTACTGTAAGTTGAGTTTCAGGGTGCTTTTATATATATAATTTTTGTATAGGTTATGTGACATCTGCTCGTTTCTACAGCAGCATGCTCCCCGCCCCCCTCTCTCCCTTTCTCCCTCTCTCTCTATCTCGCTCCCTCCCTCCCTCCCTCCCTTCCTCCCTCTGCCTCCACTGAGTAGCCGCACCTGCCATATGGTGACAGGTGGTGCAAACCGTGCAGGTCGTTCGAATGTCGAAACTCATGAATTTGCCCAAAACATGGCAATGCACAACACGTGCTCCCACGGTAAGGCACGGCGCAAAGACTGTAGGAATGTGGCCGACGCAATGAAATTTCAATCCAATGGGCCACACCGAGCTGTTTTGCTGCTTGCCAACGCCAGACTCAGAATCCATGCGACCAGGGGGAAAACAGACAGCAAAGAAGGGTTCTTAACAAGGTAAGAAATCAGAAAGAAAGAGATAAAAGCAGCCCTGACAGCGACCTGCAGGAGAGCAAGCAAAAAAGCAAGAAGGAAACACGCAAGATAGACAAAGAGATTTTGGAGAGTCCGGAAGGATGCAAGCACGCAAGGATGGACTGATCAAAAAGAAACGGGGATCATGGTAGCAAAGCAAGTAACGGAGAGGAAGGTATAAAGCAATGATATAAGAATACACAAGGGAAGAGAGGGGAGACGCAGGGAGAGGAAACATGAAGAAACTGATCGACTTCAACCAACCCTGGGCCTCTGAAGTTGACAAACTCAAGACCCCAGCTTCCCGCAGAACGACTGCTGGCTCAAACAAGAGTGACAGCATCTATGGTATTCTAAGACATTTCTTGTTTAAGGTGGAGGTAGACTCTCCAATCAGGAGGATCTGCCACTCCTATCGAATTGCAGAATTTGAAACCTAATAGCGATTGTTTTGTCTGTGTTTCTTTCTCAAACATCAACCAAGGGCGGTCAATCAGTGCAAGCTGGAGGCCTTGAATTTCCAACATTTTCCATGCATTGATCAGTATGCAACCTTGCTTTTGCTGGAGAGTGCAGCGCTTGCTTGTTTGATCCTTTGCTGGTGTTGCGATGCTTGCGTGTTTTTGTAGCGGCGTGGCTTGTGCCAGGCTGCAGCCTAGCGTTAGCAGCACCATTTACAGTTTGGGTAGTTCATCTGGAACAACAAGCTGAAGGCGACCAACCCGGTGAGACTTGTAGCGCAGTCGCTTGAGGCACTTAGCTTGTCTTATTCACCGATTTTCCAAGGCTGGACAGCACGCTTGCAATCATGGCTAGATCTGCGGGTTGTGTCCTGTGGACGGGTGCTGTCACTGGCCTGGCTGAAAGCTTCTCGGCACCAGGAGGCTTCTGGACAATGCTGGACGTCGTATCAATCACGGCATGACGTTGAAACACTAAGGAAACAATATGAAACATGTTGAAATGTGCTGGACATGACTCATGACTCGCATTCTTCTCAGTTCATTTTGGTTTACTTCTCAAGTCTTAAGGTCATAGCTTGGAATGTGGAAAACAATCGCATGCTTGCAGGTACAAAATTATTACTTTATGTGGATCAACAAGCTTAAACGAACAAAAATAGAATAATTTAAATATACGCATATAATACATATGTGCAAGTAATGCGTAATTTTGTTGGGTATGAGTATGAGCATGCACCATGGTCTAATTTCGGCGAATCAGCTGCCTTGTTTGCCTTCGGCACAGCTTCAGAGCTTCAGGTTGCAGATTCAAAATCTCCAGGCTCTGGGTCACTCTGAGTCACCTGCAGGGTCACCTGCAGGGTCACCTGCAGGATCACCTGCATGTCCTCTGGAAATTCAGCGGCTTGTGGTCCTTGTGGTCCATGGGTCCTTGCAGGGGTTCTCCTGCTGTCAACACCAAACGGTGTCTCTGCATGGGCAGCGCAGCCTCTGAGTCGTCCCAAGGCCCACTGCCCGAACACATGAAACTTGAATTGCCGTTTGGCTTTCTGATGCTTTCTGCTCAGAGCCCTTCGTTTCTATGGTCTTCAATGCTTGTAGGTGGTGGCGCTGTACGAGCAACCTCAGCTGCTTGTGGCGGCGCTGCTGGACAGGCCCATTCCATGGCTGACCGAAGTAAGAAATAGAAAGAACATGTATATATATATAACATGTGGTGCCGAGGCGCACCAGTGGTACAGAGTTTGTTGTACAAATGTGCGTGCACCCCAGCTAGGAATGCAGACACTTAGACACACACACACAAGCACAAGTGATGTCATAAATTAAATGCAGAGGAGCAGAGAAAGAGGTGCATATCTAATTCATTAGTTTATCCATCCGTGGCAATTATGCCTTTCTTGGTTCCTTCCGAACTCTCCAAATCATGGGAACGCGTTTGACCCTAGTCTGGTCAAGAAGCATATGCAGCGGAAGGCCCAGACACTAGCTGGCCCCTTTCAAAGCATATTGACATATGGCCCACGGCCTGTGGTGCTTCTACGGTCTTGTAAGTGGGGTCCTTCAGCTATCTGTTGATATCTGTTGTCTTTTTGAGGCTCGTGGTGTCTCATAGGAGCTGCCTTTTGAGCAGCGATATGTGCAGCCGGCATGGAGTCAGACAGTGTCCGATATTGTATGTGCTGTAATATACTGTATATGAATGTACTGCATATGGTGAATATCTTCGTCTTCTACATTCTGATGCTATATGCAGTGGTTGTGATGCGTACTTGTTTATGTTTATGCAGTGCAATGTGCTGTAAATGTGACATTATGCGATGTTATCGCAATGAAACGCAATCTCAGCAATGTATGTCGTACCAGTAGTACTGCACAAGGCGGTGGCGGAAGTTTCAAAAATAGAACACCTATATAGGAGAGCTTGTTTTTTGTGAATCACGGATGGCAGAGCGAATCCATTCATGGACTGAAAGGTGGTTGGAGTTGTGTTTTTTGAAATGATTACAATGGTTGCAGTGGTCACCTGGTCGGTCACCTCACCCACAACTGCGGGATGTAGTGTGGTGTAGTGCAGCTGTAGTTGTAGTTGTAGTGTAGTGGAGTTGTAGTTGTGGTGTAGTGTAATTGGTGTAGTGTAGTTGCAGTTGCATTTGTGGTGGTGTAATGGGTGTAGTGTAATGTAATGTAATGTAGGGTCGTGTAGTCGTGTTGTGTCGTGTGGTGTAGTCTAGTGTAGTGCAGTGTAAAGTAGCGTAGTTGTAGTTGTAGCTGTAGTTGTGGTTAGTGTAGTGTAGTGTGGTGTGGTGTAGTGTAGTGTAATGTAATTAGTGTAGTGCAATGTAGTGTAGTGGTGTGTAGTGTAGCGGAGTGTAGAGTAGTGTAATGTAATTAGGGGTGTGGTGTAGTGTAATGTAGTGTAGTTGTAGTTGTAGTTGTGCTTGTAGTTGTAGTTAGTGTAGTGTAGTGGAGTGTATTGTAGCGTGGTATAATGCAATTAGTGTAGTGTAGCGGCGTAGCGTAATGCATTTGTAGTTCTAGTTCTATTTGTAGTGGAGTGTAGTGTAGCCGCGGTTGTAGTTGAAACTGTTACAGAACCCTCACATTTTGCTCTCTTTTGGCATGGTGCACCTTGTGCCTGCCACGCGAAACGACATCCGAACGTCCAAAAGTGCTCCGAACCTCTCAGGTTTTTCAACTTTTGACTTCAAAATGTGCTTCGCGCCACAACGGCGTGCACTCTTTCGACATCTCAACTTCAAAAAGTGGTCCGAAGCTGGTGTGCTTTGTACATTTTGACTTCCAAATGTGCTTCGCGCCACAACAGCGTGCACTTTTCCGACATCACAACTTGCAAAAGTGGTCCGGGTATGGTGTGTTTTAGAAGTTTGAGAATCAAACTGATAGACAAACGAAACAATGCAGTAGGGTAGGAGGGTGGGTACAGTATGTGTGCCTGAAGGTGGCTCTCAGGTCACACCCCACCCCGTTCTTTCTGGGACTAAGTTTGGGTTACTCGCGCATGGCATTGCTGCCTCCCGCGGGTGACCTGTTGACCGTGGACGACTTGCAGGGCTTGTTGCCGCTGGTGGGAGTACCGGGGGCCATCTGGACAGCCTTCTGTGCCCAAGTTGGCGGCCCGGGCACAAACATCCAACACATGGCCTCCCTGCCGGATTTCATCATAGCCCAGGCGTGCACTCATGCTACGTTTCCGGACGGCACCCATTTCAATCCTGTCAATGCCACGCAAGTGGGGCTGGTTTGGCGAGTAGCTAGAAAGACTATTTATCTGAAGAACCGGGGATTGGAAGGGGACTTCATTGACATTGGGCCCTGGGTCCAACAGAATCAGGGACAAGCTGCAGGGCAAGTGACCGTGGACCCATCCCAGAAGAGTTCGGGCGTCAAGGAGAACGTCTTGAAGATGGCCTCATTGTTGGATCAATCTGACGAGTCCGGGTTGGTTCCAGCTTCGGGTCGGCGCCTGAGGAAGACGAGAAGGAGGCCACAGACTCTCAGTTGGGTGCCCTCCACAAGAGGACCGTGGTGCTCAATCAGGCACCATACTGCGACTTCAGTGTCTGGACCCCTTTTGGTCGCCGTGCTCTGCGCAGCCAGAATTTAAGTTCCGCACGTTTGCACCGCTGGGGAATGGCCAGTTCTTGATGAAGAAGCTCCCGGGTCGTCAGAACTTTCTACAGTGGTTAGCCTGTTGGAGGGTCTTCAAGGTGGCGGCAATCTCCCTTAACACAGTGTCTCTCGCGGCCTTGCAGCAGTACGAGAAAACGGTGGAGAGGCTCACCTTGCATTGGCCTCACGCTTGGGGGTTGATCGCACAAGCAGAAGATAAAGGCAGAGCCGAGAAGTTGGAGAAGATCAGACGTGGACTTGTTGCAGACCAACTAGCGGGGAGAACCACACCTCCGGACTGGGACGCCGACAACCCATGGTCGCTGTGCTTCAAAGCCCTGGCCAAGGACGAGACCTTTTGGTCAGAACAGGTGTGGCACCCTGCGGCAGCTTGGCTGGCATCGGGTGGAAAAGGGGCCCCTCTGGCCCCATCGGAGACCATTGCCGCAACCCATTTACTTGGCGGTGCTGAAGCCATGGAGACGCCCAAGGAGGACGTGGAGAAAAAGAGACAGTCCAATCCAGATAGAAGGACTGCCAAGAAGAAAAGAATGCAGGATGAGAGGGACGAGTTGCAGAAGTTCAGAAGCGCCTCTGGTGGTCATGGACATCCTGGAGGAAAAGGCTCATCAAAGGGCAAGGCGAAGGACAAGGGGGGCGCTGAGATCTGCTTCAGCTGGCAGGGAAAAGGGCCTTGCGCAGAAGTACATGTTGGCGGGGAGTGCAAAGGGAAGGTGAAGCGGGCACGCAAGTGTCAGCATTGCCTTTCACCCGGCCATAGAAACGACGCTTGCCCTCAAAAATGAGGGGGGAGCGTTGGCAGCCTTCGCACTCGGACGCAAAGTGTCTGAGGGCCATCGGAGGTTGAAAATACGAGCCCACTTGGCTGATGAAAAACACTAAGCGCTTGGTCGGTGCGGGACCCAACATGTTGAGTGCATGTACATGTTGGCATGTAAATTGTAGGGAGGCAGGTTAGGTTAACCTTGAAATTTCTTGTGAATATGCTGAAGGGGTTGTTGTAGAAATGCATTTCATTCGAATTAGGGAAAGAGAGATTTGATTTTTGTTTTGCTTGGCAGGCGTCTGAGCTGGTTCATTGGGCCGGACGCCATGAACGATGGCGAGGAGCCGGGCTGGGACCCCGACGACGAGGTGGTGCTCGAGCGAAAATGGAACCCCAGGGCGCTGCGCATTTTGAGGGGCAACCCAGACTTTGCCAAGTACAAAGCGGAGCGCTCCTTCCGCTTCGTGCACTTGTTCAGCGGACCCAAGGACGTCTTGAAGGCAGCGCTGCTGGACGAGGCAATTCCATGCTGGTTTCCCGTGTGGCTCCTTCTCGATGGTGAGGAGCAAAGAGGGGGACCTCCGCCGGTCAGGTCAAGAGACTGGCCCTATGGGCTACCCAGCAACACGGACATGCAGCAGAAGGAAGGGGCCCACAGGGGCACTGTGTTGGCGGCGTTGGCGGTCGTCGCAGCCAAAGCCCTGGACCATCAGAGGACCAGGCGCGTTGGGGAGGTGGCCACGCTGGAGAACCCTCCTGGAGCCGAAGTGGGGCCTGATGTACCAGCCTGGGAGCTCCCGGAAGTTCTGCAGTTCTTGGAGAAGTACCGAACTTCAACAGCTGCATACACATGGACGGGCCCAACAGGTGGTGGCAGCCCGCAAAGTGGGCGGGCCGGCTGCAGGGCATTGAGTCCCTGAAGTTCTTGCCGCTCTCAAAGGAGGTGGTGGAAGCGTCTGCTGCGGCCCTCAAAGCGGCAAAGCCGGCTTCGGCAGAAGCTGAAGCTGATGCATGTGGAGTCCAGTCAAGAGGGCCCAGGAAGTGGGCCTGGAATGCCTCAAGGAGGACCTCTGGACGTTTCATGGGCATGTTGCAGTGCCTGGCGCGGTGTGGGCCTACGCATGGGGCCTATTTTGGATGTTGAGGGAAATTGAGCTGTCGAAGGTGCGTTGGGGCCACGTCTTGGAACCAACGCAAGAAGACAGTCAGGCTGTTCATACCCCACTCAAAGATGGACCAGCAGGAGTTGGGGATAGCAAGAAGATTGCAATGTTGTGGAGAAAGCCCCTGCTGGAAGGGGTGTGCCTGGTACTTGGTGCAGACCATGTTGAAGCGTCGGGGACGTGCTGCAGTACCTCCCGAGGAATTCTTGTTCCCCAACGACAGGGGAGAAAAGCCTTCGAAGTCGGACATGGTGGCTTCGTGGAGGAGCTTGTTCGATACGGAAGTGGCGGGCCACTCAGCGAGAAGGTCGGGAGCCATGGCCTACGTAAGAAAAGGCATGGGGATCAGAGACCTAGCCTATCTTGGGCGATGGAAGTCCTCGGTGGTGGCTGACGTATGCGGAAGAGGCGTTGGAGACGATTTGTGCCAACAGAGGCCGGGGGCCAGCAGCGGAAGTAGGCGTCCCAGCTCTGAAGACTCCCAGCAGCATCCTGGTGGAGGCGGTAGCAAAGGGGCCAACAGAAATAGGAGGTGCTCTTCCTGCAGGCGGACTCTTGGGGGGCAGACCGAAAGCTGCCACACTGTGGGTGAAATCCGCAGAAAGAAAAGTAGACAACCCGCTCCATTACGTCACAAACGCGGATTGGAGCCTGCCAATGTCTCATGGTCCACAGCTTGCGGCTGGACCTTCGCAAGGAAGTCAGCAGGGATTTCCTTCGTGACAAACCCTTCCCTGAACGTCCTGAAGTGCAAGAAATGTGTGGCAAGAAAAGACCTGCGCGACAAAGTCAAGAAGGGTGTCATTCCAGCGCAGATGATAGCTGGTGACATGGACCAGCTGAATGAGCTGAGAGATGGATGTGGCACGACCAGGCCACACAACCGCCCTTTGAAAAAGAGAAGGGTGGAGGGTGGAACTTGCCCGCGCAGTGGAGTGTCTTAGAAGTTTGAGAATCAAACTGATAGACAAACGAAACAATGCAGTAGGGTAGGAGGGTGGGTGCAGTATGTGTGCCTGAAGATGGCTCTCAGGTCACACCGTTCTTTCTGGGACTAAGTTTCCCACCCACCCACACCTGTACAATATTTAATTGGTGCAAGGGTGTCATTCCAGTGTAGATGACAGCTGGTGACATGGACCAGCTGAATGAGCTGAGAGATGGATGTGGCACGACCAGGCCACACAACCGCCCTTTGAAAAAGAGAAGGGTGGAGGGTGCAGTGGAGTGTCTTGTAGATTTTGACTTCCAAATGTGCTTCGCGCCACAACGGCGCGCATTTTTCGACATCGCAACTTCCAAAAGTGCTCTGAACGTGAGGTGTTTTTAGCTTTGTCACTTGCAAGTGTGCTTCGCGCCACAGCGGCCCAGCGGCGTGCAATTTTTAATCTCTCATCTGGCCAGATGGCTCCGCACCCGCCACTTTAGCGAGCCTACTTTTCGACCCTCCGGAGCCACAAATCATTGGAAAAACACAGTTCCTTTTCGCGCACCTGTACCTTCTTTCTTCTCACTCTTTCTCTTTCTCTTTCTCTTTATCTTTCTCTTTATCTTTCTCTTTCTCTTTCTCTTTCTGCTCTTTCTCTTTCTCTTCCTCTTCTCTTCTCTTCTCTTCTCTTCCTACCTCTGCTTTTCCTCTGTCCATATTGTCGGAAGTTTGTTTGACTTCTATTCTAAACTTCCTTCGATTATGCAGTTGTGCAGATTCGCATTGACAGTGATGTGCTTCACAAGCAGCTTTTGCCCCGCGCTTCCTCAAACCAACTCTTTTGTTTCTGACAATGTTAAGCAACCTGGACTTACTCAACGTTCAGGCTAATTTCAGTCGAACTGCGTGCTGGCGTCAGTCTTCACGCTGGTCCAGACCTGCCAGGACACTTGAAAAAAATCCTAGTTGGGTTTGGACTGGCCAGAGGTAATGATGGCCGGTGTGAACACATACCTTGCAACCTTGACGAACCTTTTTTGGCCAAGCATTGCCCGATGTCAGCAAATCAGATTCTGAACCCGTTGGCTCCGTTGACCCCGTTGATGTGTTAGAGTGGCATTACTGGGATGGATCCTGCATTCATGAAGGAGACGTCCCCTCAGCACTTTCTCCTCGACTAAGAGCTCGCATCAGGAGACTTAATTGTCGCTGGTCACATTCACATTGATGCCATCCACCATCCAAACCTGAAGGCAACGTTAAATTTCCAAAATTTTCAATATATCTCTAAATCAATACTGCACATGATTTCTTCCGACCAGGACACGTCCAGTAAGCTTCTTCGAGGTCGAACTCGGAATGTTTCATCTGCTTCTGTGTTTTTCTGTGCTGATCATTTTGCGAAGCGTTGCTGATGGCTTCTCGGCCAATTCGCGCCAGAAAGGCTCTCAGCTCCCTGTGTGGACACGATGGGCTTTGGATGAGAGAGGCGGGCCATGGCTGACAGTATAGATATGTATAGATATGAATAGTTTATTCAAGGCAGCCAGCAAGAAAGTGCAACATGGTACCACGCTGGAACCTTTCGGCCGGTAAATGCAGCAGGAAATGGTACACAATGTAAATGTAAATTGTCAAGAAAGTGCCGCTGTTGGAATCAGGAATGGTATTCCTGTACGAAACCTCGCCTTTTTTGCCAGCAAGCCTAGCATTAAATTAAGGAAAAAAAAGAGTGTTCGCTTTGAGAAAAGGTTTTCCTTCTTTCCAAGCGTGCAGCCCCAATGTTACGCAACCTCTTAAAAACGAACGGGACAATGGCAGGCATTCCTTTCATTAAGCACGTGACTCCTCAAGATGCAGAAGTCCTCTTGAGACCTTTCAAAACAAAGAAAAAAGAAGTAGCCGAGAGCACTACAGGAACCAATTGGGGCGCAGGCACGGCTCTGGTGGGACGTCTTGCTCTGTTCCAAAAGCTTGGTGTCCCACAGGTCTTCCAGTACCAGCG